ACAAATTTGCATGAAGAAATCCCTTCTTCTCTTTCATATTTGTAATAACAGATAAAGAATTAATACTCTCTACCTCTCCTTTTCTGTACAAGAAACTTCTCCACCCTCAACTTTACTGAAGGAAATAGTCTACATATAATATTTCTTCAAAATAGCTCCTCTGTGCTATCTCCATCTCAATTAAACACTATTCTCTCTTGCCTTCATTGTGCATACAGTGTACAGCTTGCCATTTCTAACTACCGTATGCCATATCTCACCTCCTTGTACATTCCAGTTAATAAAACCAATGAGTTCCTGCATATCAACTGCGAATGCTTCGCGCCATGACCGTCATGTAGGGGTATAACAAAAGAAGGGTTAAAACCCCCATGTATAAATTATCATATGCCCAACCCAGCATCTTCCCCCCATTATTATGCCTTTTTATCTACTAACCAAAGTACATGTTGTACATTCCAGTTAATAAAACCAATGAGTTCCTGCATATCAACTGTGATTGCATCGCGCCATGACCGTCATGTAGGGGTACAACAAAAGAAGGGTTAAAACCCCCATGTATAACTTATCATATGTCCAACCCAGCATCTTCCCCCCATTATTATGCCTTTTTATCTACTAACCAAAGTACATGTTCCATCTTCCTTCTGTCAATCTTCTGTCATTAACACTTGGATTAAGACTGTACTCTGAAACTAAACTGCCTTCATTGTATAACGCTTGCAATTCAAGACTATGCCATATCTCACTCTTCTTTCTACATTCAACAGTTCACAAAACAAATACCTTACTACATAGTACAGATCGACTGCATTGTAACTCATTCAACACTATTCTATCCTGCCTTGATTGTACATACTGCATGTCATCCTAAGTTCACAATACAAAACAGCCTACGGTAATAACAAAATTCCTTATCTCAATACAACCTGTTCTATGTGTACAGCTTGCATTTCCAACTATGCACAATCTCACCTCCTCCTACCTACCCCAGTTCACAAAACTCCTTTTCTTATTTCATATAAATGGACCAGCAACCGGCAACCTTTCTTTCAGATGTCTTCAAGAATTCCAATAAAACTTAATAAAACAGATGCCATCCCCTTAAAAAGATTTGTTTTTGTTGTCAATCTAAGTATTATGCATATGATATGAACATTTTTAGCCTGTCCACTGTAATAGTCAAAATATGTCGTTTACAGGAATTTTATTCTCTCTCTCCCGGAGTCGTTCACATTTCTATCTACATCATGCTTCCTGTTACTCTTAACATCTTGAACCTACTTTGAATTTCACTAGTTATAAAAGCACAGTTAATTGTTTCCTTCAAAGGAGGAGTTTCTGTTTTTATATCAACTATCGTCTGCGGGTTATACACTCATTAATTGTCATGTTTTTCTTCTAATTTTGAATCACTTATCACACTGCCTGAATGCAAAGTCCTCTTTCATAAGTGCAGTTTTTAAATTACCAACTGCAGTTACTAAAACAAACAACAACAAAAAAAAAAAAAACAAAAAAAAACAAAGCCAAGCCACTAATTCTTCTTTCAATGTGAAGGCTTGAAGGTGTAGATTATCTAGATCCTTGATAAATAATTTTTACCATCAAAAATCATTTTCTTTTCTTTTTTTTCTTTTACCCAGCTTAACACATCATTAGGTAACTCTGGTTTTTTTTCTCCGTTTAAATGCAACATAAAAGAAACACGGTATAATTCTTACACATAATATACAGGTCAGCAAGAAAGTGTTATTTCATGTCCTTTCTTTCTCTTCTTCAAAAATACCAAAAAAATTTCCTTAATGTCAGTTCTCAGCTACTTGAGTACTTCTTCTTCTCTTCAAACGTTGGTGTTTTTTTTTTTTTCCTTTCCTTTCCCTGTACTGAAGAATACCTCACTACTTCGTATCTCTCTGCTTCTTGCCGAGCTGATTTCTCACTTTCATTCCAGTTTCAGATAGTTTGCTGTTCCAATCTTTAGGCTGATTATATTTATCGTTAATAATGTCTGTTCTCCTTCTGTTTCTCTCTTTCATCCTTCTTCAGATCATAATGATTGCTCAAATAATTCTTAATAATAGATTATACTTATCTAGCTTCCTGGTTAAACTGGCTTTACACCCTCCACATGTACTTCCATCCCTTCGTCTGCCATCCCTTCGTCTGCCATCCCTTCGTTTGCCTTGGCCTTTTCGTCACTCCTTACGTTGGTCGCTCCTCGGGATAATTCCTTGGTCGACGTCGCTCCGGGTACTGGGTGTAGTGGGCTGTTAGAACGCTTGTCTTGTCCTTTTGGTCCTGTTCTTCTGCATTGGTCGATGAATCCTGCCTGCTTTTCTATAGGTAGGACTACCCTATCCACATACAGCTTCCATGGCTCCGTTTTCGAGAAATAAGCCAACTTCCCCGCATTTCTCGCTTCTCTCAGTGCTTCCATTTGTTGTCTTCTCCGTTGTCTCGTTCTAATTGGCAAATCCTGCGTAATGTACATCTTTGTGCCTTTAAGATTTTTTGCATTTTTCAATACAAGTTCTCTGTCCGCGTAGTGCACAAATCGAGCCTTTATTGGTCTCGGCCTCACTGCCGCCGCAATGCGATGAACTCGTTGGTATTGTATTCCTTCTATCAGGCCGAACTCTAGCTTCAGATGCGACGTATAAAATTCTTCTAACACCTTGGACACATTCTCCGCCCCATTTTCAGGTTCCTTCTCCGGAATTCCTAAAAACACCAAGTTTTCTCTGCTTATGTATGTGCTTAGTCTGTCTATCTCCTCCTTTAATTGCATTCTATCTTCTTCCACTTGCTTTTTCATATTCGGAATGGTGTCATTTTTCAAATGTTCTGTCATTTGCGTTGTAGTCGACAGAAGTGATAACTTCAGCTATTTTGGCTTCGAACTGCTTAATTTCTGTAGTTATTCTGCTTTCTAGTCCTCGAATTTCCATCTGAAATTTGTTCCAAATTTGTTCTGACTGAGCATCGAACAGCTGTTGAATTGAAGGTAAAAGCTCCTGCGGGCTGCCACGTAGGTCTTTTCTCAGTTGCCCATCCGCGCCCGAGCGCTGGCGGGCTCTCTTGGGATGTGCCATAATAATTGCACGTGGCACGTGGTATTGGGCGTGGTATTGGGTGGAGAGGAGAGGAGCGGAGCGAAACGGAGGAGGTCCTTACTCTATGACGGTCATGGCGCGAATACATGATAAACTTGTTTATGATCGATTCCACACTGTTCTATCAAAATGCAATCGCATGACCAGAACTCAACTTTATCTTTAAGTTAAAGTTAAAATCTCTGTGATATTATAAGCTAAGTCTTAAATTTTCTGAATGAATTGGTATCTAAGATATCACTTTTTAATTGGTGTAGGAAAGATGTTGATCGATATTGACAACATTCAGATAGGGATTGATCTTTTGGGGAGTCGGCCGAGCATTATGAGGGGTCGGATGTGCATTATTCAAACTGAACAAATCCTGTATATCTGTTCCCCTTTAAAAAACACATGCACAAAATCTACAAATTATTTGTTCATAAACCTACAATAATTTATGTTTGGTTTGAATTATTTCAAATAAAATTGAATTTTTTGAGAGCTTTTGTGTCAGACTATGAACTGTAGGTGACACAATTTGGCACCTTTCCAGACTCTGAACGTCCGACCTCAAAATGTTATTTGTGGTAAATTATCCCTGTTGATTTCACAAACTAACAAACAACCAAACAAACTTCATGGATGTATATGACCAATAAAATTGTAACGAAAAGAAAACAATAAACAATTTATTCACTGTCAAAATCCATGTCCTTTAGGAACTTTCACATCGCAGGAAAATCAAGAAATTTCTACAGTGGTTCAAACTCGAAGATTTTTCGTTAAACAAAACATCTTGTTGAAAAGCTGCTTAATGACAATCGTTAAGGTATCATAATTAGATTCAATCTGTTTTCAACTTAAGTAGATTTAGGTCGGTTATTACTTCTCTTAAAAATCTACAAAATTACAGACTAAAGGCTAAAGACTGTTACGGCTACTTACACATACACATCAAAGCCCAAAGACATACAATATGAATAACTTTATTTGTACACACCTAGTAATTTTGTTTTCAAGAACGTAAAAATATAATCTTCTAATGATATTTCTGATTTACATGTGAAATAATAATAAGTCGAGAGCTTGATAGGTTTTGAAGCTCACCTGAATTTTTCTAATGGTATTTGAATCTATGGAATTCAGGTTTAGAATAACATAAATGATTAACAGAATTTCATGGATCAATCACTACACAGAAACAAATAAACTGTAATGCTTTAGCTGTCGAATGAAACCATATATATTACATTTCGAAATTTTGACCTTTAACTTATTTATGGAATTGCTCAAATCTATATTTTACAGTATAGTATACCAACATGAAAATTTGACTTTTGTATAGTCTGTTTTAAGGAAGTACACGATATAGATGACTTATGTTAAGTATTATCAAGAATATTTAACACTGTTACTGAAGAGTCAAATTGAACATTTCCATTTCTTTCACGCCTATTACTTGATTGACATTTCAAAAGATCAAATGAGACATTTCACAAAATATATTAGTTCATTGATGTAACTTTTTAATCTATTGACGTTTTACACTGCAAAAAGGAGTTGGATATTTTTTTACTCATGTTAGGTAAAAAAAAAAAAAAAAAAATTAAAACATATAGGGAGCATGCATGTTTGTAACAGTTTACCTAACATTGCGGGTTCAATCTTATCCGATGTTGGCTATATTTTACCCACTGTTGGGTTAAATCTTTTCAAGAAAACAAACACAATCCCTTTTTTAATCCAATGTGAGTAAAATTGTCTCCAACTCAATAATATAGTGTTCTCTTATTTCAAATAGCTATTATTTATACACGTCAATTTACCAAAGGCGTGGCATTCATATAGTTTACTACAAGTTTTGAATGTACCGTATATATTGCTATAATGCTATACTTTTACCTGGAGATTGTCCTAATATTCCCGATCCTGTTGAAACTAATAAGATGACTTGAGTCCAGAATAAAATCCGAGAATCCATGGTGGATAATCAATTGAAATCCATTCACACAATCATGGTAATAGTTTTAACATTGAGTAGTCCTATCCACGCTCTGAGCAAGGGCGAGTATACAAACTAACGTACAGGAAACTATGGGTGTGCGACGTCTTTTCAGATTGTGTATGGTACATCATATTTTCCTATTCCTCTTTCCGAAACCAAAGTTCACCCAAAGAGAGAAATATCTTTTGAAATATTCATATAGTTAGTGCAGTCAACCTTATAGAAATATGTCAACGTCATAGCCAATGGTACAATGGAGGTGTGTGCTTGGATTATGCGGGATGCGACCGACCAGAAAAGCTCTTTCTTTTGTCATTTTTTTATTTATTGTATCTATAAACTGCAACAGGGCACCGCCTGTTTGTAGAGTACTCAATACATGAAGTCCACAGTTCGCCAAGTATCACCCCATGACGTTCTGAGAATGATCCTATTTGTAAAATATGTGTGCAACAAAAAAAAATAGAAATTGAGTGATAAATCTCTACCGGCTTTTCACAAGATGAACGAACGCGATATATACATGTTATAGAGGAACTGTACCCTCTCTATAGTTATTTCATCCTAGAGTATGGTAAATATGTAACCCTAACTCTGACACTAGTCCTAAACAAAATTGCATTCCCAACCTTAAATATATACCTTTACGAAAATAAAACCCGAAGCAATTGTCGCAGGTACAAATGTTCGGTCGCAAGTAGAGGTGCGGGCTACCGCTAATTCATAATGCATTGTTGAGATTATCAACGATCATGCCGTTTTGTGTTCGTAGCGTGGGTGTTTCTGCGTGCCAATTCGTTTCTACAAGCTATCTGACACTTAATGAACTTCCTCCTTTTTTAATATATAATAACACAATCTCACCGCTAAACCAACTCAAAACCCAATGACACCATTTAAAAGCTTGGCCATTCTGGGATTTTATTCAGTCCGTTATCGTTATCGATCTAGTATTGGTCTTGTCTGGACAGGAGTATCAGCGCTGTTGGTTAAAGCAAATTACTCTTGCAACCGGTTGATTGATTGATTGATTGATTGATTGATTTTTATTCGACAAGCTTCCAACATACAACAATATACAATAATAACAGATCAAAAAAAGTCAGCTTGAACAGGATAACCCACGAAAGCAATGAGGTTTATGTTTACAATATGAGTGATAGCTCTGTTATTGGTCAAATTTATAACACAAATTGCGAGTAATTGAAACGATATTAGATTCGAGAGAAACAGGCATAGAAGCATTGAACGATCATCAACTTTTTAAAGTAATTAAATTTATTATATAGAAAATGTGAGTAATTTGAACAATATTTGATTCAAGGTAAGCGGCTATCAAACATTCAGTGGCCAATTCTTATTATCAAACATTACAACGCAGATTACAGTGTATCATATATTGCATGGGTAGATAAACAATACAAACTAGTTGACGGAAACAAGCATATCCGTTCCAGAAGATCATACCCCATATCCCACAGTTAGCGGTATGCACAATTCATTCTTTTTGGTTGTTGAAACACACTTCCAATTTACTTATGTTAACGTTTACTTACTACGTTTTGATTCCCTTTCAACGTGTTTAAAACAAACTTTTGAATTGTTTAGTCTGTTAAACAATAATAATAATGATGATAACAACAACATTGATATAATAATGATAATAATTATAACAATAATGATAATAATAATAGTAATAATAATAATAATCGACAAATTAAGAACATTTGAAGAGATATGTTTTCAGTTCACTATTTACTATTCACTATTTCTTAGAGATGCAGGGAGTTCTTATTAATAGGCTTGGGACAACAGATTGAAAGTATGTGTAGCCAGTTTGTTAGAAATGTTTTTGAAAAAGAATAGTCCATGTCTAGTGTGTACCAAACATGTAGGCTTGCTCAATCACATGATCCAAGTGTATTACACTTTTCATTTTAAATCAAGTTTAATTATTGATGTAATTTCTGAGGTGCGCAGATTTGACTACGAGATATCATCAAGGGAGGCACATATTTCAAACTATTGTGGGCTCCCATTGTTAAAAGAAATGCGCCCTTTGGTATTTTGAAAAAAAAATGCTTTTCACTGATTTTTCACACCAATGGTTTCATGTATTTGTCAAATATCGCTCAAAGTTCCAACATTGTGTTTTATTCCACCACCCGGTAAAAAACCTAAACGATGGAAACAAGTTAAAGAAGCCTATCATTTCTGCAGTCTCAAAGCTTTCAAGGACAGATTCAATGATCCCCTCAAATTTTAAAAAGCCTCGTTGTCGTAGTCAAATCGCTTTCCAAGACCAACCAACAGATTATATTGTAAAAACAAGAACATTAACAGATAATCCATGATGTATTTAAACTTTGTTCAATTTCCTCTGTATTTGTAACCTATCATTTGTACAGTGCCTGTCAGGAAAATAGTTTGAATACTTAAAGAGTTACCCCGTCTAAATACAATGAATGAATAAATAAATAATCAAAAATACGTACACCATTAATTATCATAAAAACGTACAGAAGGCTTTGATTCTCACAAGCAAAGATCATCGCTAGATGGCGTGCTTCATCTATGATGGTTTCTTCCAATTAAGCTTGCCTATAATATATATATAGGCGGGGGGCGTCTATTTGTTTGTACCACGGCGATCCCAGATTCTTATTATTTCATGAATATTCATTACACAGGGTCGGGGAAAATCTCGATTCTCTTGAATATTCATGTATGATTGAGTTGGGTACTATCCTACGTACTTGTAACACGTTGGATTAATGGTATAAAACGGCATAGAAAAGCAATGTCACGTCATTTAGATTACCCCCCACCCCCCAAGGACAGTTAACCCTGTTCATTGAAGTTGGTTTTAAGAAAAGCAGATTTTGTTTTCAAGGGGTAATTGTCGAAGAGGGTAATTTTTAGGGGAGTCGGTCGTATGTCCGGCCCCGACATGCAATATCCAGTCCCATCATTATTTTAATGTACACATTATGACGAGAAAATTTAGCCTCCGTTTGGCCTGAAAATGTAAGTATCGTTTGAGTTGTGTATGTTTTTGTTTTATTGCTTAAACATTGCTTAAACAGTTAGGGTGTTGTTGGTGTTGTTGTTCGATTATGTTTTAAAGGCACAGTGCCATACTTGTAGCTACTTGCTCCCTCTATATAGAAAACTTTCCCAATCGGTGCCTGTTGGTCCCCCATGATCCTCTTTTTCTTATGTTAAATGAGAGCTGAGTTAATGAGATAGCCACCTGTCACAGTGACCTCGATGGCTCTCTGTGTGGTCTAATCCCTTCTGGCCCAGTAGTGGTGACGGTCTTTAAGGCGATTTAGTCAAAATTGACTATTTATGCCTTATGTGTGTTTCTAGCTAGCTCTTTTGTTCGTTTGTTTTCAGTTTTGTTATAATTGTTTTGTTCCGGTGGCCGTTTGATTTTTTTTGATTTTTTTTTGATTTTTTTTTTTTTTGGGGGGGGGGGGCATTTTTTCCTGATCTGAGAAATTTGGCTAAAAAAATGTACCCCCAATTGCTTTCTTGCTTGCTTGTCCGACGGGAATCCGGCAGCCTCCCCCCAGTTCATATCAGTTCATACCAGCTGGTTGTTCCTGCATGCCTATACCCCCTACTGATGACCTAGCGGCTACCTCCCGCAGGCACGCAGTCAGCAACTCAAAACAACAAAACATCTCACAAGACAAGACTCAAGCCAAGGCGTCCTGGAAGAGAACATCAACCATCCATTCCAACTCCCTGTATCAACCAAACAGACGTAGATACTTATATACTCTCAGTTCAGCTCATAATATAATACTCATAATGCAACCAAGAGCTTGAGGACCAACCACCGAGTCATGCCACCAGAAGCTAGAGCACATCGTCTAAAAGAGAAGATAAAGGTACCAACATTCAAATAGACCCTAGGAAAGGAAATTAAGATTTAGGCATAGATCAAAAACAATAACGATGTGTAGAGGAATAGTTTAACTTCTCATCCCGGGGGTCTCAGCCATGTAGAAATACTAAGCATGCGTGACCACAGGTTTTTCCAGACACCACCTAAACGAGTATTTGGCGAGTTTTTTCCCCGAACTCACAGCCTACACGGGTATTTCAAAAATTATTGTACCACCCCCGTATATATAAATATGTTTTTGCTCAAGAAGGGGAAGGGGGGGGTGTTGATTTAAAAAAAGAATTTGTGCTCCATCCTAAACAAGAATTGTAAAATTCTAACCCCTTTAGCAATTTGAAGTGCGATAGAGATTTCCATTGAAGTTGTTGACAATGTAAAATAAATCAAATTGTGCATGTGATGTAAAATTCATAATGTAAAGTTTATTTCCATAGAAGAGCAATAACATCAACCTGAAACAAAACCGTTTAATGCACAGCCATCATAAGTCCTTTTTTTGAAAAAAATAATTACATCTAAAATGTGATCTATTTTATAAAAAGTACACGTAGTGTTTACAAAAGGCACACCATGTACAACGAACGGGTAGTATTCTAATATGCATTGTAATTTAATAAGACCCTATTGGTACATGCAACATGCTACCAACTCGCTCTATATACTTTAAAGCTACCTTTCGCGGCCGTCGTCCACAAAGCTGACAGAGCGCCTATAACCAACTAGCTAGGCGGCAGGTGCAGGCGGCGGACGACAGTCTCGCCAAAGAGATACCAGCTCCTTGGTCTCGCCAATGGGCAATTATTACCATCCCCACCCTCCCCCTCCCATTCTCGTCTGAAGACTAGAAAAATACCATTTAACGCGTAAAGCAGGATATTTCAACCATTTTGAAAACTTTTACCCTTTTTTTTTTTTAAATGGCCCATCTAAAAAAAAAACACCCCTTTATGCTCGTTTTCTTGGTCACGCATGCTAACAGCCTAGCATTTGTATTTGGCTGAGACACTGGGCTTCTCACTTAGCCAAGCAGGCGCGGATCCAGGATTTCTTAGGGGAGGGGGCCCAACTTTTTTTTTTTTTTGCTCCCGAAAAGTCGCTCAGTGGGGGGGGGGGGGGGGGGGGGGGGGTAGTGAGCACAATTTTTTTTTGGTCCTCGAAAATTTGCA